CCCCATCCAGTAATGACCCCACTGGTCAGTTGCACGATAAGCGTATTGCCACAGGGGGCCTGGAATTAATGGGGAGGGGGCCGGAAAACAAGCCTACAGGTGCCGGGCAAGTATGCTCACTGGAGCCTAAAGCAATTACCACCGGATCCTTTTAGCATGGTCAATAGGTTATTAATTGAGGAAACTGGTGTTGGATTAACAAAACAAACACTTATTACATCTATTATAAATCAATTTACTCACATATGATTGCATTTGACAACGCTGAAATAGCGTGTGTATTCAGTTAGTGATGGTCGCCAGCTTGGATTGTGTAAATTACAGACCGGAAAGCGGAATGAAAATCCGGATTTGTTGTTTTTAAGGAAGAAGGGCTCAAATAAAAATGCTGTTTGAATATTTAATCACATTTACTGACAGCAGTATTTAATGCAGTTTTGGAGGAAATAAAAACACTACACTTTATTAAAACATTTTCTCTCTCAATAATAAGAACTGTGATATAAACTTCATGTAAGTGTTTCCCCCTATAGCACTAACAGCTTTTAAATATTTCTTCTCTAAATTATTTTTAATGGGGATAAAGTAAGGGATACAAATGTAAAGATAAGAGAAAAATTTCATATCTATTATTCAATGAACAAAACTCATACACCTTTCTATAAATTGTATTTTTTTTAGAATATTTAAAAACAAACAATAATATTGCTGAAAATTCAGACATAAGGAACACTTATTTCTTTCTTTGGTTTTAATGTTCATCAAAAGAAGTTTGGTAAATAAAAGTAACTATTTAAACAAAATATTAACAACCAACCCCCCAACCCCCCAACCCCCCGCCTTTTTATAAGGTATTATATTAGCGTGTCCGTCTTGAACGTTCGTTGCACATGAAACATATCAGCTTCTTGGGAGAACCCTGCACTATATGGTATTCGACGGGCGTATATTGTTCCACCCCGTGGTACTCTTGATAATGTGTATGTTAATTATGCCCTTCAGTAAAGTCAATATAAACTTTCAGACTGAACGTGGTTGTAAATTAATTATACTACGAGCAAACTTGGCATGATAAACAACCTTATTTATTATGTATAATATCCAGAATGTTTATACAGAATTTGGGCTATTTTAAGGTGAATTTATAACTTGAATCATGAAAACCAATTAACCAATTTCATTGGTAATCCATGTATTTACTCAAGTTACATTGGTGTGGAGTTAAGGAATATTTGCTTATCAAATTGACGAATGAAAAGTTGTTTCAAATGTATTTCTTTGCATTTCAGGTGTTCCTGAACAATCTTAGCACAGTAAACCCAATTAAAGTGAATGACAAAATTGTTCATGGTGATGTCAAGTTGAGAAACAGTGATGTTTTTACCATAATTGACAGATCATTTCGCTTTGAATTACCAGAAGGATCTTCAGCCTCTCCCAAGAAAATGAGTTCTCCAACTAAAGTTTCAACCCCAAAGGTTTGTTTGTTTCTTTTCTAGTTTGTTGCTTCAAATTAAAGATATGAAATTAGCAGGGTTAACCCTAAAGGTAGCCATTAAAACCAGAGCCCTAAAATTGGCCCCTTCTTTTTCTTTAAATACTTATAATTTGGGACATATCAACTTTAAAATGCTAAAAATGGACCCATTGCTCCCATCATTAGTTACACTGGTCCTGAAGAATTTAAAACTAGTTCCTTAACCTGAAGGAGATACTTTTTGTCCTGTAAATATTGATATATAAGGTTAATTATGCTATCTCATTTTGATTATTATCCATCAACTTCCTTTTCAGGCAAAGCACCCATCACCTGTCAAGTCTGCTAATCCAAGAAAACCGTTATCCCCATCAAACCGAGAATTAGATCTTCAACCAGCTGTTGCACCTAAGTCTCCAAGTAAAATTTCAAAAAAATCTACTATGCCTAACGCTAAGACACCATCTGGAGCAGCAGCAACTGTGCCTGCTACACCAAAAGGATCTGGTGATGATAGTCAACATAAGATTCTCACTCCTAAGAATAAACCACCTCGAACACCTTCATTGAAGACACCAACAGGTCAAAGCACCCCCAAATCTAAACCAACTCAGGATGCAAGAGGGAGGAGCACAACGCCAGCAAAAGCTAGAGTACAATCCCCATCTCCTGCTGCTAGATCTGCTAAGGAACATACTCCAAGATCCACTACACCAAAAACAATTGGAAAAACGCCCAAGTTGGCAACTCCTTCTAAATCCCCTAATTGTTCAATCCCTAGGGCAAAATCTGTGGAGAAGACTCCAAAGAGTACTAGCAAGTCTATACCAACACCAAGATCAGCAAGTACTAAAGCAACTCCTAAGGCTGTGACCCCAAAGGCAACACCCAGAGCTGTGACCTCGAAGGCAAGTCCTAAAACTGATACTCCGAAGGCAACCCCTAGAGCTGCAAGTCCTAAAGCAGTCACTCCAAAGGCGATGCCTAAAACTGTAACTCCAAAGGCAACTCCTAGAGCTGCAAGTCCTAAAGCAGTCACTCCAAAGGCAACGCCAAGAGCTGCAAGCCCTAAAGCAGTCACTCCAAAGGCAACGCCAAGAGCTGCAAGCCCTAAAGCAGTCACCCCAAAGGCAACACCAAGAGCTGCAAGCCCTAAAGCAGTCACTCCAAAGGCAATGCCAAGAGCTGCAAGCCCTAAAGCAGTCGCTCCAAAGGCAACGCCAAGAGCTGCAAGCCCTAAAGCAGTCACTCCAAAGGCAACACCTAAAGCTGCAAGTCCGAAGGCAACACCAAGAGCTGCAAGCCCTAATGCTGTAACTCCAAAAGCAACACCGAAAAGTGCAAGCCCTAAAACAGTCACTCCAAAGGCAACACCCAAAGCTGCAAGTCCGAAGGCACAACCAAGAGCTGCAAGCCCTAATGCTGTAGCTCCAAAGTCAACACCCAGAGCTGCAAGTCCTAAAGCTGTTACACCTAGAGCAGCTAGTCCTAAGGCTGTTTCTCCCAAAGAAACACCAAGAGCAGCATCTCCAAAAGCAGTGTCGTCAGCTAAAAAAGACATTGCAGATTCCAAGGAATGTAAGTGACATTTGTTTAATCCTCTAACATACATTTTTAATTTACAGTAGAACCTCGTTATCTCAAAATCTTATGACTTGAAGACCCCATTTAATTTTATGTCGAAATAAACCGTGATAATTTGAACCCTAAAAATTTGGATACCTCTAAGTAAGATATTTGGTTTCAACAGCGTAAATCCAACATCAAAACATTGTCTACTTAATTGTGTTCATTTTCATTTCATCACTTATTTATTCTTTGATACAAATAAAACGCAGAACTAAAGCATCTCGCCATTCCGTGTTTATGAACATCTTTCGTGAGTAGACTAGCATGAATCGGGGGGAAATAATTTGCAATAAAGCTCAATACTGCAAAGTGTGCAGACTGTCAAAACCACATTGTTCCTAATAAAAAAAACTTCATCAATGTTGATCAACAGTATTCTGTGCTTACTGCAAGTTCATTTAATGATTTGTACACCCAAGCTGACGACAGTCCAAACCGAAAAATTGGTCACAAAGCATGGTCATGCATAAAAGGGTTCAACAGTTAAAATCACAACCTAGTACAGCTTCACGGGTTCATGTTTTTACGGGTGCCAATATGACTTTGAAAGTCAATCGAGAGATTTTAAGAACAATTAGATAATTGCTGTTGATTACATCAAGATGAACAGGTGTCTCTTTTCTTGTAAGCTTGTTTATTGTAAAATAACACACAGCTTTATGTTCTATTGTTAACCTGTATCACTCCACGACCCTGTCGACTTCAAGATAACAAGGTTTGACTGTACAAACAATATTTTCCAGATTAACACATTTTTAGAAGTCAAATTTTTTTTTAAGGAAAATATGTTTCTCATCATGGCAAGTTTTTTAGATCACATATCAATTTTCAAGAGTAATACAGTCTCTATTGAGTGAATATTAATTTTCAGTTTACACACAATGTTGGTATTAGGTATAACGGACTTATCTTGCTTTATTATTATATTTTAGCAAAGAAGATGACACCCTCAACAGGAGGAAGACGAAAGGTAACTTCACAATGTCTTAACCCTTAGGCTGCTACGTACGACAATAGTCGTTTTTAAAAGTCAGGCCGTCAGTGCTACGCACGACAATAGTCGTTTCTCGGCCTGTAGGTTTTGATCGGTAGCCAGGAAGTGTGAAGTCGGGTTGTTGCTATACCAAACCCGAACGCGTATAGTAGAAGGCTTCTGATTGGTTGTTTTGTCATTACTTTTGATATTCACGGCAGTGTACCCAAGTAATAACCAAAGGTGTGCGAGAGAATTTCAAATCGAAAAAAAAGTCATAAAAATGGTGGACGCGTAGATTGAAGCGATGCATATGATGGTAAACATTTACTCTCCATCGTCACCTTCGATGATAATAAAGGTTTTGAAGGGTTTGGCATGGTTGACGTGGAAATACTTTGGTGTTACATAATATGTAACTTTCCAGTAAACAGAAAAATATCGGCGGACCGAGGCGCACATGTTGTCTGCAGGTGAGGCCGACTTGAACATTGACATTGATACGTTTTGAGCCGATTTATTTCTTCAAACTTTTTATCGGTGACTTAATCATAAACTAGACTGTAGCTAAGATATATCTATATGCCGACTGTGACAGTAAATTTATTTAATGGCGACTTGAAACCTGTAGCAAATTACATGCAATTCTTGACGAAATACCTGACCTTTTTACCTGAGAATCTCCGTGTAAATATACAGCGTCTCATGTCAAAAATGAAGTTTATAATCTCTGTTATCATTTGCTAATCACATTTACGGACGAAAATAATTTTAAAATGATCTTCCTCTTGCTTAAATCCGATTAATTAAAAGTTTCACATTTTCTTACCTTTATTACCACCTGTACAGGTAAATACTGAAGCAACTTTAGAATTGAAAACGTTAATATAAACTAGAGACAACAACAAACAATTTTCATATAACTTTTTTTCATATATAACAAATATTTTCCAAGTTATGCACATTTGAAAAATCAAGTAAATTGAAATAAATTTCAATAATTAATTCAGCAGTGGTGTCCGTTTACATAGAAATCAATGTAGCAGCCTAAGGGTTAAAACGAGAGTCAGAATCATATTACTCAGTGTACGTTATATGAATCATAGGCCTCTAGGTTGGAAGTTAAACAAATTGTTTTCCACTAAACTACCTGATATAATCACATGTAATATCATAACCTGATGCAAAACAGATAATGCTTTGTTGCAACCACAACAATTCAGAGTTAAATAAAATGCCTGCAAGCTGTAACTAGCTGGCTATAATAATCAGTTTGAAACTGATATTGAAAGAAAAATGACTAGGAATAATAAGGAATTGTCTCTTTTGTAGTCAACACCAGCAGGCAGTCCATATGTGCCAAAAGCTGTATCCTTGAAGAAACATTTATCAGAACTGAGACGGCGATCACAACCAGTTTTGGAATCAACCAGTCCAAAGCGTTTAGGTAACCCCCCTTTCTTCCCCCCTGCTACTTGCAAATGACCTTCATTCTTGACCAGTTTAAAAGGTCACATGGGTCAAAAAGGAATTTTTAAAAGAAAAGTACTTCTTCATGAACAGGTTTTTTTTTTTTTTACCAATCCTATCTTAATACAAGCTATTTAGCTTGCTGGCAAACATTGCAAAGGCAATTTACCTATCTTTTTCCAAATTCATGTCTAAAAATCCCAAAATGTTACTGATTTCATGTAACAAAACAAATAGGGCATGTCATATGAATCCTGAAAGTTATCGCATATGTTCGTTTCACTTTAAACCATCTCTGTCGAGTTATATCGTCTTAGGGATTATAACGGATGCAGTTGTATATTTTACCTTATGAGATTTTCTTTAAAGCATTATCTCTCTTATTATAATTATTAAAACATACATTTAGCAAGTTGAATTATGCCTTGAATAAATCAAAATGAAGAATGCAAAGGATCTAAAAAATCAAAAAAGCACATAAAATGAACATTAACATTAATTGGAAATAAATGTACAGTCATCTGCATGCTTTGGATTCTTATACTAACTTCTCTAGTGGAGATTATTTTTGATAAAGTCATAACTTTGTATAATGTTCATCTGCTATTGTAGGATCACCAAAGACCCCTGAGAACAGGAAGAGAAAATCTACTGAATCTATCGCACCAAGTTCTAAAAGGAAGAGAGTATCGTTTGGTCCTCAGTTGAGTCCCGAACATTTTGACAAGCAATTGCCTCCCATCACTCCTATAAGAAAAGGAGCAACTCCAAGAAGAAGGTCAGAGCCTCTGAAAAGAACATCACCTCAATCACTATTGAAACGAAAATCTGTAGCACCGAAGACTACTCCAATAAAAGAAGAAAGTCCTTCAAAGTCTCCTAAAGCATCTGCATCTTCTCCTAAGAAAGCCACACCAGCGAGAGCAAAGTCTCCAGCAGCAACACCAACCCCCGTCACACCTAAGGCAGCAACACCAGTAAGAGCAAAAACTCCAGTAACCACGCCAAAGGTTATGACACCCAAGGCAGCATCTCCAAAAGCTGCTACACCTAAGGCAGCAACACCAGTAAGAGCAAAAACTCCAGTAACCACGCCAAAGGTAATGACACCCAAGGCAGCATCTCCAAAAGCTGCTACACCTAAGGCAGCAACACCAGTAAGAGCAAAATCTCCAGTAACCACGCCAAAGGTAATGACACCCAAGGCAGCAACACCAGTAAGAGCAAAATCTCCAGTAGCAACACCAACCCCTGTCACACCCAAGGCAGTATCTCCAAAAGCTGCTACACCTAAGGCAGCAACACCAGTAAGAGCAAAATCTTCGGTAACCTCACCAAAGGCTGCAACACCCCAGGCAGCTACACCAGCAACGGGCAAATCACCCAAAGTCTCTAAACGAAAATCTGATGGAAGAGGAATAGGCAATGCATCCTTCACTGGAATAAAGCGTCTCTTAAAGACTCCAAAAGCAAAAGCTAATGTGTCTGCAGACATCAGCTTCACAGGCCTTCAGGAAATGATGAAGACACCCGAGGTGATGACAAGTACGCCAAAACAGTCCAGTAACAAGAAACGACGAGCAAGCACTGGAACTGTAGGGTTGTCCACAAAGAAGCGACTTATCACTCCATCCAAGTCTGTAAATCAACAGAAACTAGACAGGAGTTTCGAGGAATTGAAAGCCATGATGCAGAGTCCGGTTAAACCTCAAACAGTTGATGGCACCGAGTCGACCAAGACCAAGCCCAATACTCCCAAGGCGGTTACTCCAAAATCAGTCAAGAAGACGCCAAAGCCAAGTACTCCCAAATCTGTCAAGAAAACTCCCAAAAAAGCCACTCCGAAATCAGTTAAAAAGCTGCCAAAGCCAAGTACTCCCAAATCTGTCAAGAAAACTCCTGGAAAAGCCACTCCCAAATCTGTCAAAAAGACTCCAAAGCCAAGTACACCTAAATCTGCCAAGACAACTCCTAAGAAAGGGAAGACGCCCAGATCAGTATTAAAGAAATCACTCAAAAAAGGCACTCCAACTGCTTTGAAAAATGCAGTGGCTTTAAGAGCAATCCATGGTAAGGATGCTGTGCCTAGTATGGGAGGAAGTTGGTCTGATATACTTAAGAAAGGAATTATGCAGAAGGGAGTGGCCAAAAAACTTTCTCAAATTCGTCCCAAACCTGTACGTGTAAAGACAGCTGTTTCTAAGGCTACCAAGGTTTGTACATTTACAAAGATTTTGTTTCCATAACACAATACATATCAGATTGATAGCCTAAATTTTATGAAAATGGACATCAAAAGATGATTTCCTTAATACGCATCAACACCATACTTTTATTCTCATAATATGTGATTTGGAATGTTTATTTGGACACTCATTCCTTAACTTTAAGTTTGATATGTTATCCTGGTAAATGCATTTAATCAGACATTATTTTCTCTGAAAATAGCTGTAAAATCATCGAAACCTGATAATTGAAGGAAAAATGAATTACAATATTGACAAATTGTTGTTTTCAGGTTCCCCCTAAGACTCCAAGAACTGTGGCTGCAAGGAAAGCCCCAACTACAGGACATATCAACTCTCCAGTGACACTGGTCATCCACAAAAAGTCATCAAAAACCCCAAAAGCTCTGCCTAGAAAGGGTCGCAAGAGTGTAGCCAGGAAAGTTGTCAAGGTTGGTATATTTCATTTTGTCCTTGGTAAAACAAGATGCAGAAAATAATAGATTTGTGGGGGGGGGGGGGGATAAAGTTCCAAAAATATGACTTTTTGCATCTATAGATATCATAAAATTAGTATTATTAATGATGCATACAAGATCATTTTTTTGCACAACAACTTTTTGTGTTGATATTTAGTTTAATGGTATATGTCTGTTATGTTTGTATTTTTTTCCAGAAAAATGCAGATGATATGAATACCACATTGACTGGACTGACAGATTTATTTGAATCCCCAAAAAGAACTCCGAAACCATCACCTAAAACACCAGCCTCTGTGGGTACCCCTCACTCCCTGTACTCGGACATCCCTGACACACCCAATGGTCCAGGAGAGATGATAGTGTCTCCCATCTCAACAGGTGGGAAACGCAAGTCTGCAGCTTCCCCTAGACTTGTAGGTGTTAAGAACCTTTTCAACATGAAGAAATCTCCCAAGGCAGCAAGTCCAACTGGTGTAAAAAGATTGATGGCAACTCCAAAACAGAAATCATTGGCTGCCAGTCCAACAGGCATTGCAGCCTTATTTAAGGTATGTTGTCTACATGTAGCTTTTCTCCCATAGCTGTAGGTGAGCTGTACAGCTGTCCTATGTTAAGATAGCAGACATGTGGAGTTGAAGAATACTGTCTTGAATCCTTTGCGGGAAAATCCTCAGTTTTTCAAGGGAAATGACTTGCTTCCTTTCACTACATGAAAAAAGAAAGCTCACATGAGGCTTTGTTCTGGATAGGTATATATTGTTCCACCATTTGGGTACTTACAGCCACTGAGGAGCTGAGCTAAAAAGGCATAGTTTGGCCAGTTTTCTTTTTACCATGAGGTTGGTTTCAATAATAATATTTTGTTTGAAGCATCCTCATGTAGTATGGGTTCAAAACAAAATATATATAAACCTTTTACATTGTTTGCTGAACATAGAGACAAACAGTCATATTTATCAGAATAATATCTGGAGCAATATTATTTTAAAGAATAATATGCCAGTAAAGTTGCTTAAATATCCAGATAAGTAATACATGCCTTCAGGGCGTCTTATTTAATTGATAAAAAATACTGTGCTCAAATTCAATAAATATTTACATGAAAGTAAAAACACAGTGAAATCTAAAAAAAAAACCACAACATATATGTGTAAATTGCAATATTAACTGCAGTCTGATTTGATTTTGCTTTGGTCCTTGTATTGATAGTCCCAATTTTGAAAGATTTTGACACAAGTTTCTTACCTTTAATTCATTAAATGATATTGTACGATTTGATACAGACACCAAAGACGACGCCCAAGGTTACACCAGCTAAGGCCACGCCCAAGGTTACACCAGCTAAGGCCACGCCCAAGGTTACACCAGCTAAGGC